TTCTGGACACTCCACTCAAAGCTCTTTACAGGTAATGGGGAATCCCCTCCACCACTACCACCACCACCAATGTGCAGCATCCACCTGGATGGGTTAGGAATCCCAGATCAAACTTAATGCAACATATGTATGCATTAATTGGTTTCTCTGGAGGTGGGATTATAGAAACTCTGAAACCTGAATTGACATAATTGACTGTTAAAATGTGAATTGGGGTGTATTGTGGTGTGCCTTCATGTCACAGTTGCAGATGGCATTAATAATTCCTTATGCTTGTATAGCACTTTTCTGGACACTCCACTCAAAGCTCTTCACAGGTAATGGGGATCCCACTACTGCCACCAGTGTGCAGCCACACCTGGATGGTGCGCCAGTTCTCTCCCCAAACACCAGTTCTCAGTTGGGAGGAGAGCAGAGCGATGAAGCCAGTTCATAGACGGGGGTTATTAGGAAGCAGGGTGATATAGCTGCTGGCAATAGGTAGAAAGTATTCACTATTAATTCTTACATTAAAGCATATCCTTAATTTTCTTCTAAGGGCGTTGTATATACAGAAACGTGTTTATACTCTGCACATGACTGAAATGCTGCTGATTTTGTTTTCCTGTGGCGCTGAACCTGTTTGTGTCTTTGTGCCAGAACCTTGTTGTAAATTAGCCACTGGTCTCAAAGGCACACTTCAGCTTCAGTACCACAAATGGATTAAAATAGTAAGGGCCAATCTTGGAGTTATTGAGTGTACAAGTAAGGTCCTTTTGAATTTCTTAATTCATTCCAATTACAGACCTTAGCTTTCTGAATGACAGTGTTATGGAGCGAAGTCTATAATTTTGCAACCACTTAACCATGCTTTTGAGGCAAAAACATACTTCAAGTACTATGTAATCAGCTTCCTGAAGCACAGAACGTCAGACTTTGTCTTTTAGTACGTTTGCCTGTACATGCCCAGGACATCTTTAGTAAGTGCTAAACACATTGTAGCACAAAGAAAATGATTTCACACGCTTCCAGTTCTCCGCGTGATAAAAATACGTTTTTTTTTTTCCCGTGCTCCATGTTGAAACTCGGATTCGGCCCAGCAGTGGGCTCTCCAGCAGGGCGAGTTTCACAGTTTAGTTCGAAAATGTGTTTTCACAGGAAGGATCTGCAAAGCAGCAAAATGCTAGAATGTCATTTCAGGAAACAGCGGAGCAGCTGCTGGGTTCTTTGTTCTGAGACATAAAAGACGTCAGGAAACTCTGCTCCCCTCCACCCATTCGGTACTCCCAGCAGAGACTGAGAAGTTCCGCACCAGGTTTATGAATGTACATGGGTGAAGGTTTTCGAGCTTGAACTACAGAGGGACCCTAGTAAAGGCTCTGAGCCTTTACTTTCATTAACCTGTAGTATAAAGATGCACAGCATATAAGTCCTTGTTTTTCCCTGAACAAATTCCCTGAACAAATTTTTAAAAAGCTGGTTGGCCACCAACAGGTTTGTTATTTGAGTTGGCATCTGGGTTTACTGGCATTCAGTATGTTGATGTATTTCTGAGCTGTTAATAGTTTTTGCATTTGAGCCATTAAATCTAGACACTTTAATAATAATAATAATAATTGCTTACACTTATATAGCGCTTTTCTGGACACTCCACTCAAAGCGCTTTACAGGTAATGGGGATCCCCTCCACCACCACCAGTGTGCAGCCCCACCTGGATGATGCGCCAGTCCGCTCCCCACACACCAGCTCTCAGTGGGGAGGAGAACAGAGTGAAGAGGCCAATTTATAGATGGGGATTATTATTAGGAGGCCATGATGGGTAAGGGCCAATGGGAAATTTAACCATGACACGCCTATTCTTTTCGAGAAATGCCCTGGGATTTTTAGTGACCACAGAGAGTCTGGACCTTGGTTTCACGTCTCATCTGAAGGACGGCGCATTTTTACAGTATACTAATAATACCACTATACCTGGGGCATAAGGACCCACGTAGACCGCAGAGTGAGCGCCCCCCTGCTGGCCCCACTAACACCTCTTCCAGCAGCATTCTTAGTTTTTTTTTTTCCCAGGAGGGCTCACATCCAGGTACTGACCAGGCTCACACCTGCTGAGCTTCGGTGGAGCTATCAGTTTGAGTTGCAGGGTGAGAGCTGTCACCTTAAGTTCCGTTTGCTCTGAGAATTGTTTCAAAAAAGAGTTTGTTTTCTTACTTTATTTAAAAAACAATCTTCGGTTTTACAAGTTAGCAGCACATTGTTTGACATTAGTTTAAAAAAAAAAACTTAGTACCCTGTTAGAGGTGTGATGGGAATTTAATTTTGCCCTTGCAGAAGGATAGGCTAGTTAATTGTTGTCAGAAAGCATGCTGAGAACTGGAGAGAGCTGTGAGAGTCCTGGTGTGATGTTGAGGTAGGAATGAGTGACAGGTTACAGTCCTGTGATCAGAGCTATAGCTGTTAGCACACATGGCTTTGAAATTGTTCACAGATTCATATTTAATACTTTATTATTCAGAGCAGCATTTCAGCTTTTTCTGGATAATCAAATCAGAGAACATTGAATAACTGTTTGGCATGACGAGACCATTAATTTAAACTTAAAACAAACCCACCTGGTCTTGAAACCTAAAAGTCTGTTACAGTTTTGTCAGTTACTTTGAAACCAAACTGAAAATAAACCTCAGGTGTTGGGTGGTTATTGCATTCTAGTTTCATTTAGACCATTTCTTTTTCACTTATCCTTTTTATATTTGCATGATTTATTGATGTCTTTCGAGAGTAGAAGCTGTGATTTTTGGGCTTTTGAGATAGAAACATTTTAACAAAATAAAGAAAACGTGATCGTTATTAAAAATAAATATTTGCCAGTGAATGGCATGTCAAATCTATTTCAACTGATAGAATTAGCAGGTCAAATCTTGTTTGCTTTGTACTTCAGACAATCAGTCTGAGCCAGTTCAGCCTAGAAGAAGAAAGCTTTGGTATTTTGATAAGATTAGTAAGATGCTGATTTTTTTTTAGAGCTAAATTTATTCCCTTCATTAAGCAAAGCATTCTTCTATTGCAGGCATGATTGCCTTTCGCAACCTTTTTATTTAGAAAGTTTGTTCCATTAAGAATATAAGCCCTGGTTTTAATTAGCATCCAGACAGGAATAATGCGGTGTGGAAAGATAAACAGGGGAAACATGGTCAGACCTTTTATATTTGAATTGTGTATCGTCAGCACACAGGCTTTTGACCCAGGAGGAAGCTTGGAATAGCTCCGATGAGCCATGAGAGCCTTTCCAAATCATCTCAGCTGTGGAGCATTCTGCTCCACTAATCCACACTCCTCCTTGGCTGGTTCTTTGCAAGCCCCTCACTGTAACTGGGGCGAGGAACTTAGAAAAAGGAAAAGTGACTCTTTAACTAGGTCGCCGCTGTCTGAAGTGGCCTCCACAGTGTCCACCGCAACATTGCAATCCGTAGTGAATTTGTTCCACCGTGCTAGCAGACACAAATACATTTTAGACTTAATTCACAGCTGCCATAGTATGTGAAAGGTTCACTTCCCTTAAGGGGGGGAGCTGCAATCCCAATTTCTCACACCAGTTATTAAATCCCGGTACCCAAACAAATTCATCGACGTTATGGTGGGGGGGGAAAAGACAAATTTTGAATTAAGCACAAAATTGTGAACTTTGTGAAAGTACTGTAAATTGCCATGTTGTTGCAAATTAGCATCTGAGTTCCCATGAACTGCAAAGTGATGCGGCCCTTCCTGCTCACTAGTCACTGTAATGACTGATGTAATGCGATGGACGAGCAAATAAGTACAGGTTGTGCAGCAGGCACTTCACTGCAGAAAGGTTCCAACGTGATCTGCATGCAGGGTTAACATGTAAATTCAATTTATGGGCAAAACCATCTCAAGGATGAGAGGATTATTTCTATTGGATTAAACGAGATGTATTCACAAGCCTGCTTGTTTACAGTGTAATAGGGTCGCAACACGTCACTGGATGTTTTATTGCCTCATTCTGAAGCACAGAATATGGCCCTGTACACATCTGGCAAGTTTGTATATTTTGTGATGTAAATTGGAGGTTTTGCAAGTTACTGTGCACATTTTATTTTTATTGTGGTTTCAAATGCACTCATCAATGCTGATTCTTTCTAACCCCTAAATATGAAAACACCATAGCAATTGCCCTTTCAGGAAAGGCCTCCCTGGTTCTCCCTGGTTTACATTGGAAAGGGTGAGGCAGAAGAGTCAGGCTCTCAGAGAGTCTCCAGAATGCAGTGAACTTCAGATGATTATTTTGTCTGTTTATGAGGCAGCCTAATATCAAATGGTGGGCTGTTCTGAAACCAAAATGTTTACAGTCTAGTTTTGTGACAGTTACAAAAGCAAGAACACTGGGTTTCTGGTCACATGTTCTCAGCTTGTTTTGTTTTTGTCTTCGTGACGGTCTGCTGGACTCAAACCCTCCTCCTTCCGTATTTCTTTCACCGCAGATCAGCCAGAAGAAGCTGAAGAAGTACGAGAAGGAATACCACACCATGAGGGAGCAGCAGGCACAACAGGAGGCTCCAATCGAGAGATACGAGGTATTTGAGGAGGAGGGCGAGATGCTAGCCTTCCATGAGTGCGACTTGCACTGACGTATGTGCTGTTGCGCTCTTCAGCCTGGACAAAACTCAGATCTGAACCCCTGATCCCACATTCTTAACTCGGAGCACAATAAGATGTGCATTAAAGACGTACTTGTTCATCTCTTCTGAATGTCTTTAACTCCTTAAATGGGTTTTCCTTTCTGTGGATGTCTGGTTCTATAAGACTGAGGAAGACACAAAGTGGTAGAGGGTCATTCAGAAAGAACAGTAGACCTCATTTTCTGGCTGGATTTCAGGCCCAGTTTTTCATAAGGCTCAGTTATTAGATTTTATACTTGGGGAAAAAAAAAGAAACTGAGAGGCAGGAGAGTGAAAACACGTGAAGGAGGGCATTGTTTATTTCTACCAGAATGAAATAAGTATAGACTGAATTGATTTTTTTTCTCCTTTGAAAATTAAATCAGCTTTACTAAAATAGTCCCAAGCACAAATGATTGAAGCTGTGGTATGAATAAAGAAAACCCAGAAGTTTAATTATAGGGAACATTCATTGAAACCGTTGTAATCACACAACAATATCCGTTGTTGCTATATGAAACACAAGATAGCTCCTGTCACAAAGCAAAGGTGTCTGCTTTTTGACCAGTTTATTCTTGTAAAGAAGACAGAGCAGAGTAACAGATGTTAATTCCACACTGAAAAGGAGAAAGTATAAAATACACAATGTTCCTACAGTAGGTGTTAAGAAGGTTTCACAGCTGAAACATTTTCTTTATCCACCTTTCTACGTTTTGGTACACCAATCTAATCTTTTTTTCTTTAGTGGCTCTCACACTTTAGTACAGATTAGCTGTGCGTGTTAGGTTGACGACACTGGTGCAGAAATATTCCTCTGGAACATTGCAGCATAGAGTTACATCTGTTAAGGGCTAATGTGGTTTAGGCTTGTGTTCCCCTGGTGTACCTGTAAAATGTATTTTGTGTTTATACTATGAAGTCTCTCTGGTCTGGAATCTGTCATTTTGTATGTACTGTATACACTCTCATAAAAATTACGGTCCCTATCCCAGCAACTGTTGTTTTCAACACCATGAACTAGAACAAAAGAACGACGCGAGATGGATCTCTCCTCGTTTAAAAACTACCTCTGATACGTCAGCTCAGACCTACAGCCAGGATATTGGTGAGTTTAGGTGCCCAGGATGGTATTCAGCTAACAATCTGCCAGTGACGATGAGCTTGAGTTCAGCCCTCAAATTCCAGGGCGCAGAAACACAGAGAGGTGAAGGACAGCAATAGCTATGGAGGTTATATATACTGCCGATCACCTGAGGACTGTAGTCATTGCAGTGATTTATTAGTGGGCATCTGAAATCTTGTCCCTGACCCTTTTTTATGACTGGCGAAAGGTGTTCAGTCTCTGTAGCAATTCTGTAATTGCAAGACAGCAGCCAAAGAGGCCATGTGCAGCAGACTTCTGTCGCCATCCAAAGTAGATCTATTTCTTTTGCATTAAAATATATGTATCCTGTTTTTTCCAAAAACGGCCGGATGAGATCCGCAGATCAATTAACTACTAGCAACCATATTAGCTAGATGGGGCCAAATGGCCTCCTCTTGTCTGTAACCTTTAAAGTTCTTATTACCAAAGCTTCTTGGACTTGAAAAGGGAGAGGATAGCAGAGGACAGCAGGTGAATTTTTAATCAAGACTTGAAAGCTGTTTTCAAAGGTTGCTGTCTTTATGAGGTCTGTTAAATATTAGATCTGGGCCACAGCAGGACTCGGAGGAGCTGTGGAGGGCAAAGATTCTGCCTCGGTTGGTTACACGGCGAGGAATTGATTTCCGATTTTGGGGGTGAGGGGGGGATAAAACAACCGAGAAAGTAGAAATTTAAACAAAGGAGACTTATCCTTTGAAGGAGCTTCAGCCTCTGCCTCTCACAGGATTTCATTCTCCGTCTGCTTCTTCGTCTTTCCCTAGAGGGAGAACAGACGGCTACAGGAAGCTAACATGCGTCTGGAGCAGGAGAACGACGATCTTGCGCACGAGCTGGTCACCAGTAAGATAGCCCTGAGAAAGGACTTGGACAACGTAAGTCTGGACCCGGCGTTCCTCTGCGATCTCGAACGGTCTTCGAAGAGTCAAGCTTATCTGCATTATAATGTTTATTTTTGTTGATTCTGAAAGGGATTGGCCACGAAAGGGTGCCGAACACATCACTAAAATTAGCTACCATATCTCCAGTCAGGTTTCTGTTGCTTTGGAAAATCATTTAGGGCGGAAGATGTTAGTTCAGAGTCAAAACTGTGAAGGTGTACAAAAAGAGACTGGTGAATGATCTTGAATGATTAATCAGACTGCTGTGCTCTTCTTTCCTTGACATTTTTTATTTACAAAGCAGACCCTGAGGATCCACGTCCTGTTTTAACATTGCTTCCCTGAATACAAAAACCATCAGTGAAGTGACTTGTTAAAGATCTCAGTGTTACATTTGGCACCGATCATCCCTGCAAAATAAGTTATCTGATTCATTGTGCTGTAGATGATGACAGAGTAATTTCTTTCCACCCATAAAAACAAAATCGCTTTGCCACTTTTATCACACTCCTTCCTCCATGTCCAGCCAAACTCCTCTAAGCTCGTGCAAATCTCAGCTCCCGGCCAGCCTTTTTTCGGATGATGAATTAATCCGCAAATCTCAGATCAGTGGCAGTCTGTGATTGCGGTGGTATTCCCTCTCATCAGCAGGCGGCTTGCATATCAGTCATATCCAAACTATGCCTAGCAGAGGTCACTGTTCCCTTATGGGCACAATTATATTCTCATTATAACCATTTCAGCTCTCAACCTCAAATAAAAATACCTGTAATGTATAACCACCCCCACACCCCCCCCCCCGACCTCGTGCCTTGAGAGCGAGCTGCCTATTCTTGTGTCACCCAGGCGGAGGAGAAGGCAGATGCCCTAAATAAAGAGCTGCTGATGACCAAGCAGAAGCTGGTGGACTCGGAGGATGAGAAGAGGAGACTGGAAGAAGAGTCGGCACAGGTCAGCGCACCCCCCTGCCCCTGCGAGCGCCTTTTCTCAAACTCCTGTGTCCCTGAAGCAGGGTGAATGTGTCTATCCCGCTCGTTATTGGGGCTATTCGAACGATTATTTTATTATTCTAGGACCTGGAGGGGGCTCATATGGTAGAGCGTGGCTTTATATGGGAAAACCTATACACTTACACAGTGAGCAGCATGACTGAAAGGTCTCAAAGAACATTTACTCACGGAAGAATAGGATTAGAACAGGAATTCTGGGTTTTAATAAGTACCTGGTGTCAAAAATAGTACCTGTATATATAAACTATATATGACATATATAACAAACTCCTGTTAACCTTTCTTTCTTATAATTTGAGAGTCGTGAAGTGAACAAACAGTGGGGAGACATTTCCTCTCTCTTCTTCTCTGTGTCACTGAAACATAATAAGGCCCTTTCTGTTTTCAGCTGAAAGAAATGTGCAGGAGGGAGTTAGACAAGGCGGAATCCGAGATTAAAAAGAATGGCTCCATTATTGGGGAATACAAGCAGGTCAGTATTGATGTGGACATCTGTCTCTTAACTCTTGGAGACTTCCCTCTTGTGCGTAGACTTGTACCATACTGTGTTTGTTTTTACAGAAAGAATAAATGTACCTCAGATAAGATTAAATTGCCAAAGCAGTGTAGAAGTGAAGGCCACTCATTCAGAAGCGAATTCTCCAACATCTACTGGATTTGATGCCGTGTGTTTTGCGACCATTTTGGACTGCAGTGAAGTGAATCTTATCATTTTGCTTTTCTAGTTGGTACTTCAAAGAGTATTTAACAGCAGAACTTGTTCTTCTCAATAGTTTTCAGTTTTCCCTTGATTATTACAATTTAATAGTCCCAGTGACAGCTTGATTAATAATGGTGAATGATGATGATTTTCGTTCATCATCAAATCTCAGCAATAGATTCTCAGCAAATCTTAGCAATCTCAAATCTCGGCAATATTGTGACGTCTCTGCAATTTCTTTGTGTGAGGAGGCCGGCTGGGCGACAAATCAGCCACACAGGGATGTCTTAGCTGTAAATGTAACTCTTAGTTGTCTTACCAGTGATTTACTGCTGTAGCTCCTCACAGTAGTGGATCTGAAATTGTATTATCTTGGGTCTAATTCTCCTGTGTCCCTGTATTAAATCTTTCCCAGCTGCGTTTGCAGGCCCTGTAAAGATCACAAATCTGTTCACATAATCCAGCCACAGTCTGTCAGAAATCTCAAAACACATTTCTCAGCCTTTAAAAACAATGGGTTCCCATCAAGCTGTTTTAGTGATGGTTCCAATTTTAGCTTTCTCTAGCTGACTTCAGACAGAAGTGCCGATGATACTTTGGTTTTACAATGAGACATCAATCACTAGATAAGCCAAACAGCAAGAGCTTGTGAAAGCACTGTAGCAGTGAGTGTGCCCAGTCCTTTATTCTGAAAAGCATGCTAGAAATACGACAAGGATACACAGGTATTTATTAGTAATATTTGGTAGTAATTAAACATAGCATGCAGTTTGTGAACAAATATAGAAAAACAATGCCAGTAGTTGAGCAAAGCATTTTAATGATCAGGAAAGCAATAATCTAGCCTTTTGGTAGTGTGTTACAAGGTGTGGTGACTGCATGTTAATTTAAATAATTCAGGAGGCGTCACTGTAGAAAATCTTTAAAGAAAACAGCCCAATTATAAAGTGCAAAGAAACTATGTGATTGATCTACCACGTGAGCCACTGATCTAGCGCCTTAAAAGAAAAGGTTCTCCTTAAGACTCCTAATTATTATAAATCGATTTTCATTTAAATCTTAGAGGGGAAGTGTGAGGCTAATTATCTTATAATGCGTTCAGCTTTTAGATGGCTATAAAGAACTTAGTGTAAGAGGATCTGAGGACAGCAGGGGCAAGGGCAGAAAGCCTTAGATTACACAAGACAAGAAGCTGGGACAAAGATGTGGCTGAGGTAGCTCTGTCCAGACCTCTGATTTGGTGCAAGGATGCTCTTAGAGTGGCCCTTCAATCCCACTGGCACCTCCCCCTCCCCCCACACCCAGATGTGCTATATTCTTCACTTTGGAAACCACGCCTGGTTGTGGAGGAGAACAATCACAATGCAGCAGTAATAATTAATAATAATTATAATAATTGCTTACACTTATTTAGCGCTTTTCTGGACACTCCACTCAAAGCGCTTTACAGGTAATGGGGATCCCACTACCACCACCAGTGTGCAGCATCCACCAGTATGATGTGATGGCAGCCAGAGTGCACCAGTCCGCTCCCCACACACCAGCTCTCAGTGGGGAGTGATGGAGCCAGTTCAGAGATGGGATTTAGGAGGCCATGATTGGTAAAGGCCAATAGGAAATTTGGCCAGGACATCCTGGGGTTACATCCCTGCTCTTTTTAAGAAACGCTCAGCGATTTTTAACGACCACAGAGAGTCAACCGTATCACCCTACAACTCACAACTGGCAGCCCCCCTGAAGTTCAGCAGGTGTGGGCCTGACAGGTACCTGGATGGGAGACTCCTGGGGAAAACTTAGGTTGCTGCTGGAAGAGGTGTTAATGGGGCCAGCACTCTCACCCTGCAGTCTGTGTGGGTCCTAATGCCCCCAGTATAGTAATGGGACTACTGTACTGTAAAAAAGGGCGCTGTCCTTCAGATGAGATGTGAAACTGAGGCCTTGACTCTCTGGTCATTAAAAATCCCAGGGCGTTTCTCAAAAAGAGTTAGGGGTGTTACCCTGGCCAGATTTCCTCCTGGTCTTTACCAATCATGGCCTCCTAATAAACCCCCTTTTCTCTGAACGGGCTTCATCACTTTGTTCTCCTCCCCACTGAGAGCTGGTGTGTTGGGAGTGTACTGGCGCACTCTGGCTGCCGTTGCATCATCCAGGTGGAGCTGCACACTGGTGGTGCAAGTAGGATTCTAAATTACCTGTACAGCGCTTTGAATGGAGTGTCCAGAAAGCACTGTATAAGTGTAAGGAATTATAAGATATTTTTCTTATTTGCTGGTGGCTGTTCAATTCTGTGTGGATTTAGGAAATATTTTCAGACAAGGCAAAAGGAAACATGATACAGCATGACTTCCGATGATTCTCCAAGACCCCACTGTGCTGCCCTTCCCTATATGATAACAGGAGCAGAGACGGAGCTGTTCTTTTGTTTAGAATGTTTAGATGGGAGGTCAACACAGAAGGACGTCTTTTGTCTCTGTTAATGAGTAGTGAACTATGGAGGCCTCACACCCTTCAGTTCACAGTCCTCTGTGAGTCAGTGAAGCACTGCAGTTTAGAGCAGGATTACCAGGGACATCAGATTCGACCGCTGCTCAGTTCTGACTAATAGGGCCTTGTTTTGCAACACTGACTGAGACAGCCCCAATTACTAGTCACAGTCATTTCCAAAGTGATTTTCCAGAAGCTGTTGTTGGTGGTTTGTCCAGAGCCACTCTTTTGCTTTTAAAATCACATTGAGTGCGCTGATGAAGCCTAACCGTTTCTGAAAACAAGGGAGATCATTTTACCAGCAGTCCTCCAACCCTGCTAAAATGAAGTAGTGGATGTAATTTATTCATGCATTTTTTAGTGCTTACAGTTGTTCTTATTCTCTCAAGCTGCCTTGAAATGCCAATTGAAAAGAAGTTTAATTTTTAAAGGCACAAGTGTTGAAAAAATAGGACCATTTTTAGACGGTAGAATTCAGATAACTTCAAGTAATGTGGTTCTGTGCTTAGGGAGAGGCGATAATCCTGTCTTGCTTCTTGCTCATTCTCTTTTATAACCTCTTGAGAACAATTACTGTGTTAGGACCTGCTATTGAAAAGCTTGTTGTTGTAGTCTGTTCCTTTTGAAGTCCATTGCTGAGCAGGTGTTTGTACTGCAGATCTGTTCGCAGCTCAGTGAGAGACTGGAGAAACAGCAGACTGCCAACAAAGGAGAGCTGGAGAAGATCCGGGTATGTGACTAACTTTATTCTCTACCAGCAGAGGTACTTGATGCATTGCAGGGGAAATATAAGATAAGCCGAGAAATAACAGGCCTCTGCATACTCTTCACTCCAGGGGTCCTGTGCCAACTACAGCATTTAAATGCATCTCTGATGCAGATTTAGTGCAGATTTAATGCAGAATCTGTCGATGCAAATTGAAAGTGATTCGTTAACCATGCAGAAAATAAGATGCAACAAAGTGACAAATCAAAAGGATGGATTTTGATGCAAAATCCCTTAGCAAGTGTTGTGGCAATTCAGTACCAGATATGGCCCTTTTAAACTAGATTTGGTTATTTACAGTGTCCCAAGTTATCAAAAAGAGCTGCATAATGCCCTTTTATGATTACAGAACCAGAGCTCATTCAGAAACAGAGCTAGAGCATGATTTTGAAGTAGATAGGAGAAAAATTGTCTGTCTGAGATGGAGTCTAATAAAGTTTCAAACAATGGCAGCACATCAGGTCAGGAATCTTCTTTTTTGTTAACAGTATTTTGCCTGTATAATGGCAAAAGAAGCCATTATATTCCAAAGCTCTGTACAGCAGCAGATTCTCCTCTCCCTCTCTGCCAGTCATTTTAAACACTCCGTGAATTTGCAGATTCCCCTTATTTCATTTCACTAGGAAGACTGTGCAGTTTTGAAATGCTCTGATTTGGTGCAAGGATAAAGTAGAATCAGGATATTGTCAGTAATATTTAATACAAGGGCCTCTAGAGCAGACATTTCACTTTCTCTTTGTGTGAAACAGAGGTGCCAGGTACTTGTGGCAAAACCCATGGGGTATTGTGAGAGAAAAATAAAATTCTGGCCTCTTGGTTTGAACCCCGTTTGACCTTTAATGGTATCTCTATTCGCATGGAATATAGCTCGATTGATTCTCGTGCTTTTATTCATCAGAGATAAGAGAGTGACATTTTGAGTGCATATGGAGCTGGCTTATAACTCGAGCGTTAGGGTTGCTCTAATTGGTCCAAGGGCAGTAACACTCGGGGTTTGGGGATTTGCTGGGTGATGACAGCTTTTTCTGACTTGTAGCGGTGCTTCAATCTTCAGCAGAGTAACTTGGCAATTGTTACATTATTCTTGCCTTTATTTAAATTAGATCAGGGAATTAAAAGGAGGTAACTGCCTGAGAAATTTCAGTCTTCCTGATTATTATTCCATGAAGAAATGTAGATTTGATCCTCCACTTGAAGCTCTTGAGATCAAAGCCGTGTTGACTGTAATTTGCAATGTGCCAGTTATACGTTTCCGCCTTCGTGTTCGCCTTTCAGAAGGCAAATAAAATGCAAACTGCTCTACAAACAAATCAATAACAGTTCAGTGAAAGCAAGCACATCCCCACCTTCCCCTACCCTTCTCAACAGCCTGTGCTTAGCCCTCCTTCACAAGAGGGTAGGGTGGAAGCAATTACAGCAGGGCATAGGAAACAGGCCTGAAGAACCAAATTAATAAGAACTTAAAATGGTGAAGCACCTTTTATTGTAAGTGCAGGTGCAATAATTGCTTCTTCAGTTCGCTCGTTCCTGGATAGTAACGCAACGGAGCAGAAGAGATAATGCTCTTGTTTTAAGAGTTATAGAAATGTAATCAAATCTTTCGGAATGTATGTGCAGAGTTGATGCAAATGGCGAAAAAAAAACTTAAACTTAGGAAGGGTGACGTGACACAGTTAAAGTGCGGTCCAGAGTGGTCAGGCTCATCCAGTTAAAGAGATTGTCCTGCGTTGTTGTTTTTTTTTATAGAGACTGTAGCCATTTACAGTTGAAATGACTCCGGCTGCCAACAACAAGTCGGCACCTGCATGTGGTTGCTCAGATCTGTGTTGTCCCTTTTTTTTTACCACGGTGTCCGGCGGCGTGATGCAGCAAAAGGTGGAGGGCTGTGAGAAGTGCAGCGGTCTGTTCAACAAGGAGGGCAGGCTGAAGGTGGTCAGCACGGCCAAGGAGGGCTCGGAGGAGGACACGGACGAGGAGAAGGAGTCCTTGAAGAACCAGCTGAGGGAGATGGAGCTCGAGCTGGCCCAGACCAAACTGCAGCTGGTCGAGGCCGAGTGCAAGATTCAGGTACCTGGAGATCTGCAGAATCAGACCGATCAGCGTTCTCCCACCCTCCTTCTCGAGGGCTAGCTGATTGCACGCCGTGCTTTCAGTCAGACCTAACCCCAGTGAGCCAGGATAGAGCGAAATATGGGACCACATGTTTGAAGTGCCTCATATGAGAACAGCAGGGATTTCACTTTCCTCACAGAAATGCGAACTTCTGACCTTTTTAACCCATTACATGTGGAGAATATTAAGTGCTACCTGTAGTCTGCTGTTTCTTAAGTCATACTGTTTCAAAGTCATACTGCCAGGTAGATTTTGAAAATATGTAACGAGCATGTCCCTGAAGATTTCCATAAGCACGAGTACTCTAAAAGCAGAAAATAGGAAACGAGAAAGTGGAAAGTCTGAGTTATTTAAGACTTCATGCAGTAAGTGAATTCTTCAAAAGCCGTTCCCAGACATTGAGGTGTTGCTGTTGTTACACTGTGCCAAGTTTGTTTTCCTCCTGACTGAGACACAATTCATAATGCCACTGGGAGCCCCTTCACCTGCTGGGTTTTTTTTCAGCCCAGATCTTTACTTAATTGAGTCCTTAATTTAACTGACAAGTTGTTTAATTAGAATCTTTGAAGGCATTGTTTCTGTTCCAAGCGTTTCCTAAGAAGAGATTGCCTTCTTAGGAAAGAATGATTCCTTGTGACATTTGTTATGAAAATCCATGCCTGAAAGGCAGCTTGCTGCACGTTTAGGGACTGAACACAAGAGATCAGATTCATCCTGTTGTTAGGTCAATTAGGGGTTCAGTTACGTCACTGACAGCTCAGCTGGGAGGAAAACCCAGAACCAGGGGTGGGGTATATAGGGGTGCGAGCCCCTAATGTAGAGAGTACATAATACATCTTAAAGACTTTGATTTTCAGTTGTCAGCTTGCTTTTTTTCTTACCAATTGTGTCTTACTGAGGATGCATTTGGAACCAAGCATTGATTTGAGAGGTGTGTTGCCGGGGGTTTGAAGTTAACCCACTTTGCTCTCTTTGCAGGACTTAGAACACCACTTGGGCCTGGCACTGAACGAGGTCCAGGCAGCAAAGAAGACCTGGTTTAACAGAACGTTAAGCTCCATCAAAACTGTAACGGGAGCCCAGGGAAAAGAAACGTCCTAATGAAGATGCAAACGCACATGACTGAGCAGATCCGCCAGCCCGCACGCTGGCCAGATGTCTTTCCTTCTCTAATGTGCTAGGGGACCAGAGTGAGTGCACACTCAGTGGGTTTTTTTAAAAGGACAATTCTAATTGGGTAAGACTGCCCAAACTGTACTTAAAATATAAAAAGGCTTTAACTTTAGAGGGTCTTTATACTACTGATATTTAACTGGTATTGTAGCTGGTAAAGAGCTACTTTTACTGTCCTTTAAAGGTATGGAAAAACACTCCAATCTACTGTCCTGCTCAAAACTACTTGCACAAAACTAAAAATTGAAATTTAGGTACGAGCGCTAACAGCCTCCTTTCCGGGAGTGTTACGGTTTTTTTTCCAAATAAGATAACTTGTCTCTGTTTAACAGCTCCTTTTTCTTTTTATATACTTGTGCTTCTTGCAAAGTTTTACAATGAGGAATTAAACAGAGATTGGTGCCATTCAATATGTAGGCGGTTTAGGGGAAATGGGATTGAAGTTTTGGTTTTTTTAACTGAGGGTAACTTGGAATTGAACTGCTGAAGTGATGACTGTAGTTCAGTAACACGCTACGATGGGCGGCTGAATTTCCACTTCTATTTAAAAAAAAAAACGTACAAAGAATTCTCTTAAGCAGGACCACACCTTCAACTTCTAATCCTGCGTTAGCTACTGCCCAAGTAGGCATACGAGTCTTTAAATGAGCACTGGGGAAAATACTGCAATATTTAAAAGACTGTTTTCGTAGATGTAGCCAAATGCAAAAAATGCAATGACAGTGAGACTGTGGGAGTGGGTGACTCCACTGTGCCCAGTGCAGTTTGGTTATACATGTTAATTTGAGACAGGGGGGTGTTTGTGGTGGGAGACATGCAGTAATAGTCTCGCATGATCTTCCTCTCTTCTACCTATTGCTGAGATCCTGGCAAAGAGGTGTACCGATGGCTTTTCTTCTTTTTTTTGTTTACAAACCAAGGAATGTCCAAACCCAATATAAGATTCTTGTGCAAATAACCGAAAATCAGAAACAGGTTTGGTGCTGTGGAACTTCGCTGGGATCAATCCCGAGCTGCCCGTAGGACGAAAAAAAAAAACATTTTCCGTTTACTGTGGTTGCTTTATGACGTGAGACTGATATGTTCTCTAAACCCTTAGTGCTTTAGTGTTGTAAAGGAAAGAACTGTTTGCTACTTGACTTAACCGTTTTAATTTTTTTTAATGTTTCCTCCATTTTATATAGGATTTTAGTGCCCTCCCCCCTAGCCCTCTATTTCCCAAAGGGACGAGATAGGCAGCGGGGGTGGCAAAAAGTGCGACAAGCCCCAGATCTTGATGATAACAAACCCTCGAAATACACTGGAGTGGTCCGAGAGTAGATTTCAATCGCAAAATTAAAAAACAAAGAGAGCAAAGCAGACAAGCCTGTTCCCCTTGGTTTTTTTGACGGGGTTTCTCGCCATCTTTCTGTAGAATGGAGGTCTTTGCACCTTATACATATTTATAATGGTTTCTGTTTTGCTGAATTCCTTCTTCATGTTAGTGGAAATTGTCTGTGTGCAGTGAAAAAAAAAAAACTGGGTCAGTTCCAAGAGGCACTGGGTTGTATATAAAAAAAGCATACAAGTTGATTTTGTATTTCTACTTTTCTTGGTAACTGTACTAATGTTGCCTAATGTATGTTACAGATCTGACATGTTAATGCTAAAGCTATTGTCCTAAATGTCATACTGCTGTCTCATTCATTTAATGCCAAATGTATCTTCATCCAGCATTACAGAAGTGTGGACATTGTAATAGTATAGTTTGCATTGTGTATACTTCATGCATTTAAATATAAACTGTACAAAACTATTGACAGAAACTGTTTTCTGGCTTTTGTGGTTTCCTGTGAGAAATTCATTCATTAAGGAGCAACACATACCAAGGTTTTACAAGTGACAAGAGGCTTGCATTAGTTAAAACAGTAACCACGTGCAGTTCATGTTTAACCAGCTCTTTGTCTCCATCGGTTTTCTTTCCTTAATTATATCAATTTACCTGTTCAAGTTTAAGTCTTTTCCCAGACAGCATGGGTTTGTATTATTAGATAGGAACTGTTCTATGGGCACTTTCCAGAAATCAAATTTCCTCCAGAAATGAAGTCAGTCGTGAGCTGGAATTTCAAAGCAGTACATTTACATTTGCACCTTTAAATATAGTGCTTTTCTGGACACTCAAAGTGCTTTACAGGTAACGGGGAATCCCACTACCACCACCAGTGTGCAGCCCCACCTGGATGATGCGATGGCAGCCAGAGTGCACCAGTCCGCTCCCCACACACCAGCTCTCAGTGGGGAGGAGAGCAGAGTGATGGAGCCAGTTCAGAGAGGGGGAGTATTAGGAGGCCATGATTGGTAAGGGCCAATGGGAAATTTGGCCAGGATGCCGGGGTTACACCCCTACTCTTTTCGAGAAACACCCTGGGATTTTTAATGACCACAGAGAGTCAGGACCTCGGTTTTACGTCTCATCCGAAGGAATTCATTGCTAATGAATGCAAGATTGGCCACCTGATTTTCCAGTCACATTCTGGGAATCATCAGTAGGTCCAGGTGTTGAAAACACAAACATCAGGGGCTGAAACCCACCTCTTTAACCCTACAAGAACTGTGAAACATTCTAAGGTTGGATTCTGCAGAGAAGAGAATGTCGGTACATTATCAACATAGCATTTAGGAGCTGGAAAAACTACCGTTTACCAACATATGTCCAATGTAAACAACTGTGTGTAAATTTTACTTTCACAGATCCACAGGTTCGGTTTCATTATCTATTTTGAGTGTCACCTGTTTTCTGTTATCCGTGCTTTCAAAATTGCAGCTGTTAAAGGCAGTCATTCCTTCTAATGATGCCCGCCTGCTTCACAGCTCCTGTGAGGTGGCATTCTCAGAAACCCTATGGTGAACAAAACACACTCAGGTGAGCCTGCGTTCTGTGACCCTGGGTCTGGAGAGTAACAGTGTCTCTCATTTTCCATTCCAACTGGGCTCTGAACAACTTCATTGTGTCAATCAGCCTTTTAATTAGGAGGCATTACCATGCACTCCAGATCTCTGCTTATTGATCAATGAAAACTGCAGGACTCGGACTCTCCAAAACCAGGGTTTCAGACACCTATCCCTACAGTGAAGTGTAAACCGAAAATATTTTCACCTGGATAGATAGCAACATTGCTCATTTTTATTCTTATTATTCATGGGATTCACATACAATAAGAAGCTTTTAGTCCACCATATTTAAGTACAGTAACTTGGAACCTTAGGCTGACATACAGAAGCTCAGATCTAGGAATGTCATTCTGGTTGAATAAAAGACTGTATCTAATTTGATCCAACAAACTGGAGGTTGACTGAGCTTTCTGGTGTTTCAGAAAACAAAAGGCTAATTAGTGGGAAAAAAACATGCAATAACTAAGAAAAGCTATAGGCTGACAAATGGTTGAATCAAGGAATAAAGACAGTAATGAGAACAGAACCGATGAAGGGGTAATGTATGATATTGGGTATACATAACTTTTTTCCCTGAAGTGTTTATTTTTGAATCTAACAAAGTCACTTTTCAAAATTTAAAAAAAAAGTGTGATCATGCTGCCATCCTAACACAAATGTGACGGCAGCTCAGCTGTTCTCAGATTTGGGAAGATTCAGCAGAGCGGAGGTAGAAATCGCTGTGAATAATACGGCTTAATTATAGCACAGGTTGTCGGCTGATGGCTAGAAACGCACACTACTTGTACATGCTGGATGGGCCGAACACAAAAAGCCAAATTAGAAACTGCACCCTGAAAAACAGTAAACTAAGCAGACCCTCAGCTTGAGAAAGCCAAACTACCATCAGACCTAGGTTTTCCAGAACAATCTTGTTTTGGATTTCAAAATATCTCAAACATACTAGTACATATGGGAATTACAAGCTCACTGATATTTGCTACACATGAGAAAAGTCCTGTTTTTCTTTTCTTACGATACATAAACATGTTATCAGTGACTAAAAGACTGGTATGAGACTGATTTGTTTTTCTCATCTCCCTGGAGCGTGGCAGCAGACCTTGTACCCTATAGAACTAGACTTTTTCATCTTGACGTTTTCAGAACAGACAATGAAAACACATCAGTGGACCACTGGCTTTTTACACTGTTAGTTAGTGTAAAACTAACAAAGTATAGTCAAGCCACACTTTTTTCCACGATTTTTGCAAACCAACACCTGCCTTCACCCAGACTTGGAGATTTCTGGCTACAGTATGAGCCGAAAAAAAAGAATGCCTGGAGATAGATAGTAACTTGAGAGAGGGAAAGGGGGAGGTCATGCCTGCCATTTCTGAAACAGACAAATGCCCAAAAGCGCTCAATCACTGGACACTAGCAAAACATTTCGGTAGGTCATTGGTGCACTCTGGAGTGTGCCTATTACTGTCTGGAAAAGCTGAATATTTTCTCGTGTGTAATTTTATGTGCACATTTCAGACTGATTAGCTGGTGTGCTACTTTCTTAAAGGAAGAGCACGTATTGTCCCAGATTGCTTCCCCATCAGGAAGCACCCTCCAGCTCCTTATCCAAAAGAAAGGTAACGGGAATGGGATTGGTTTTCAACGAGAGAAGAGGAAAAAGGGCCCTTTGTAGTAACTGCTGATCTTCCACTGGGGGCAGTTTCCTGGCACCTCGATCTTTGCAGAGATGCAAAACACTAAACACAGTGAAAGGCCCAAAACAGGAAAATCTGGGGAGCCTGAAATATGCATTGAACCAAAGTATGAACATTTATAGAATGGGTAGGTAGAGGACCATAAACTTTGGAAACTATTCTAAATTGATACAAGCTTATGCAATTTCAGGAAAGTAGTTAATGTTCCTCCACAGGTCTAGCGGGCTGGCAGTCACTGGAACCATTCAAAGGGGCACAATCCTACCTCAGGGGGCAGAAAGGAGACGATCCTGGAGTCTCTCTGATGAAAGGATCCTCAAATGAGTGGAATGAGGTTGATGCTCCCAAGTCCAATGTATCCTGAACACCTTCGATCATAAAGAAAGAACAGAACTTTCCTTTAAACTTTCATACAATCATGTAACCAAACACAAGTAGTGCAAAGTCACTACTTATAGTAATTTGTTCTGATGGAACAGAAATAGGGATCTCAGGAGATCAAAATGACTATTCAGTTTTAGAACAGAAATCTCACCATGTGGAGTAACCTGTAATGAATACAAAGATGGGGCTCAGTCATGGAAACCTTCTGCTTTGAAATGGAACTATTTTGGAATAATAATAATTGCTTACACTTATTTAGCGCTTTTCTGGAGACTCCACTCAAAGCGCTTTACAGGTAATGGGGATCCCCTCCACCACCACCAGTGTGCAGCCCCACCTGGATGATGTAACGGCAGCCATAGTGCACCAGAACGCTCCCCACACACCAGTGATGAAACCAATTCACAGAGGGGGATTATTAGGAGGCCATGATTGGTAAGGGCCAATGGGAAATTTTTGGCCAGGATGCCAGGGTTACACCCCTACTCTTTTCGAGAAACACCCTGGGATTTTTAATGACCACAGAGAGTCAGGACCTCGGTTTTTACGTCTCATCTGCAACCTTAGTTTTTCCCCAGAGGTCTCCCATCCAGGTACTGACCAGGCTCACGCCTGCTGAGCTCCAGTGGAGCTGTCAGTTGTGAGTTGCAGAGTGACATGGCTTCTGGAATGAAAGCGTACTGTGTAGTCGGGGGAACACTCCCAGACTGCGGGCTTATCATAATTCCTTGCAAACCACTAGTTTTTGGGAACGAGAATTCAAGATGAATGATAAGGATATAAAAAGCCAAAGGTCAGGCTTTTTTGGAGGAGCCTGGGGACAGAGGTCCTGCAGCCAAGGACTGAGGATATAAGAACAATCTGATATGCAGGTTAATAAGGCCAGTTACTGACTTTATAAATTAATTTCACAGAGTGAGGGGCTGTGCTAGGAGTTCATTATCAGTCCTTTATATTGATCGCGATACATCTGCGTTGTTAATCCATGCTTTTGTCATTTTAAATAGATTAGCATTGCTAAAAGCTGACTTAAAAAAAAATCAAGTTTGCCATGGGCATCTCTTTACCACATTGCTCTATTTGTTTTATAAAATGTCTGAAACATTAAGCATTTTTAATTGCAGTAAATATTAGAATATTCTGACAATAAATTGTAATGAATTAGCCTTACAGTGAGGCAGTACTGCTATTGTTTAAGAGCTCAGCGCAGTCTTCTTTCATTAAAGATTTCACTTTTGAGAACATGGAGTGATTTGCATATTAATTGTCATGCTACAGTGCGTAATTGCTGACTTCAATATCTTGTCACAATATCTTGCCCTCCCAGCTTCAGCGCTTAGTAAAGTTAACAGCAAAGGAGTTTAAAAAATTTTCTGCCACTTGCAAAGTTTTTTTTTTCTTACAAATTCTAAAACTGATTTCAGTGCATTGCTTTGAAAAAGCCCCAAATCCCTGATCTTGCTTTACGAATGCTGTCATGTTGCTCGGTAAAAGCTTGGTAAAAGTTGGTGCCTTAGCAGTGTTTCTCTGCTCCCATCTGCACTTGAATGCTAGCATTAAATTGTATATAATAATAATAATAAACTTTATTTTATATAGCGCCTTTAAAGGTGGCTTCTCAAAGCGCTTTACAGAATGACAACAATAAATAAAAGGAATACACAAGAGAAAATACAATTACAATATACAGAGGAGACCGTGGATGGTGGTACTAAGAAACGTAGAAGCAGAGGGGTAAATAATGGAACCAGTTAAGTAAAGGCTCTTCTAAAGAATGGATGTATGGATGTAGG